TGCAACCTCCCTGACACAAACAGCGTTGTAGGCGCCGACATTTTCCCCTACAGTATTGTAGGCGCCATTAACTCCCATACGGTAAGGCTCCCCACACATGCCTCTGGGCATCGACAGTGTTATGGGCACCGGGATTTACCGTACCGAGTGAACATGGTGAAACTCCTCACATGCCTCTGGGCATCCACAATATATGCAGGTACCGACATCTGCCATACCCGAACAAAGACGACGTAACCTCCCACGTGCATCTGACATCCAACAGTGTTGTGGGCGCCTACCGTCATCATATACCTGCCGGTGTGGGCAACGAGGTTTAGAAGCATACGTACTCTCTCCCTCTCACTTGTAAGGCCATCCCCTTCATCTATAAAAGGGGATGCGCTCTCTCCCAAGAAACTCAGTTAATCCAGGTCGATTCAAGTAATTCTAGATTCATTAGATCGATCAATTTCACTAGCTCACAACCTCAGAACCGCCAGGTTCGGACCTCAAGCACACGCTTGAATACTTAGCTCATAGCGGAGCTCCTGTTGCTCTCGGCCCTTCTGACCGGAGCCGACCGGACCTCTTGTATACCCCATCTTTCTCCTTCTCGTTTGTAACCCCACTGCAAACTTCGAGCACCTGGGCTCAGGAATAAAGTCACTGACCGGCTCAAACTGGACGTAGGCCACGTTGCCTGAACCAGTATAAACCCTGTGTCATTGAGTGCTAGGCCACCTCCGATCACAACGTACGGCAAAATTACAAATATTTACTTGTTGGTCACTTTCTGCACCGACAGTGTGGCTCTTTAGTTAGTCCGTGACATCACACTAGCTTAGTGAGCAGTGACTTAGCTCTTGTGTGTGATAGTGTTCATAGCAACTAGAATTATTGGGATAGGTGGCTTGCAACCCTTGTAGAGCTAGAGCAAAATTGCATTACGTCATTTGTCATATTAATCAATTGCTCTAGTGCTTTGTAGAGATTTTTAATATGCTATTCACCCCTCCTCTAGCCATATTAGGACCTTTCAGGGGGCGCGTGTACGTGAGGAGAGTGGCTGCCGCTGCCCCTTGTGTCGGGCTGGGAGTGGGGGAGCGAGAGGTAGGGAGCGGGAGGGGGCTGGGAGAGGGAGAGCGAGAGGGAGGGTGCGGAGAGTGCGGCTAGGTGAGAAGTGAACCCTAACTCTGTTATTTATATAAGCCCGATAGGATGGGTGGTTATGGGCTTTGGCTGGGCCTCGACCATAATAACGGAGGCGGGCCTTTTAAGAGACCCGCCTCTGAAAATGGAGGCATTTTTGGAGGCCCGCCTTTGTTCGTATATTTTAGGAGGCGATTGTTTTTTAACCACCTCGGTAAATCGATGACCGCCTTGGTTAATGAAAATGTCTGCCTCGGTTAATCCCAGGTATTAATCGAGGCGGTTGAAATGCCTGCCCGCCTCCGAGCCCCTTTGTCAAACGCCTCGGTTAAGTTTTATCGTAGTAGTGACTCGATCCTATGAAACTCCTGCGTTTTAAAGGAGGCCTAAAATGTCGTGAATTGTTTGGTGGCATGGATGCAGTATTATTATCTCTATCTCTTCTCTACAACTAAAAAACGCTTATAGTTATCGTCCACCCGGCAAACTACGTCCTGCCCGATACCGCAGACCTCCAGTGCTCCAACAGTTTCTCTAATATTTTTCTCCTTCCTTCCCGGCTATCATGGACACGAGCGGCTCCCACAAGCCACGCCGATATGTGGGCCCAGCTCCCGCAAGCCGCAACTACCCCATCCCGTGACCTCGATCTTCTTTGCCGTCTCATCTGCTTCTAGGGTTTTGGGCGCCGCCATGGCGACAACGAGGCCCCCGAGAAGGCCCGCCCCTTCCTGCCCCTCGCGATCCAATCCTAGCCCTGTTCCAGAGGGCAGGACAGGGCGACCAAACGAAGACAGGGATGTGTTCTATACGCACGAGCAAAGGCCCATAGAAGCGCATCGTGTAGGGAGGACGTGACTGTTACAGGATGACTATTAGATATGGTGCCAACACGGAGGGGACCGCACGCGTCTGAGCCGAATCTCAAACACGATCAGTATGTAGATATTCTCAACTGGCCAACTCCATAGTGGCATAGTCACTTAAATTTCAAGCATGCGTGATTTTGTAAACATCTATGCAATTATTATTGTGTTAGAAAATTTTCAGCTCCCGTGGCAACACAGGCACTCACCTAGTTATTATAAAGAAATAGCGTGTGTGCTCCTCGCACTGTCCATTGTTCTGCAGAATTTGTGTCTAGCATTCTATTGAGAGGGAGAGAGGGACCGTCTTGACAGCAGCACTAAATTTTGCCAAATAACTGCTACTAGTCCTTAACCTTTGCTTTGTCTGCTTCCCCATTTCCAAAATAGTTGTACCTATTCGCATTCCCATTGCTAAATAGTTGTTCTACCAGCCCTATTATGAGGGGAAAAAATTAGATGCAGACTGGCTGCACCGACGCAGCATGCAGACCACCAGTCGATGTAAGCCACGTGTCTAGGCTGAGGAACGGTTCACGCGCTTCCTTCCCCTGTGGCCGTGCGGCTCCGGCTCGGTGATTGATGGGAAGACATGTGTCAACATATGATTGGTGCTGTAGACACGTGTCAACATATGAATGGTGGTCTGCATGCAGCGTTCGTGCAGCCGGTCAGCATACAATTTTTTTTCCGCCGTGTGCGAGCCATGGCGAGAGAGCCATGCTATGTAAAATATGCTTGCTAGTTTAATCTGGCGGTGGCAAGAACTGTAAGGTGTTTGGTGGGATTATATTATGTGATTACCTCAGCCGGTGCCGTGGAAAACGCGTTCCAAACGGGGTCTTAGAACTTCATTATATTATTCTCTGTAGTTGTATAATTGACACAAATGATTGTTTTACAAGGAGAGAGTTGGATAATTTAGTTAAATAAGATCTAATACCTAGCTATTGTTACCAGCAATGATTGAGTCAACAAAATCAACAGTAGGATATTACTCCCTCCATCCCAAATTGTAAGTCATTCCAAGAATCTTGGAGAGTCAAAGTTTTTCAAGTTTGATCAAATTTATATAACAAAATAATAATATTTATCATACCAAGTAAGTATCATTAGATTCTTCATTAGTTATATTTTCATATTATACCTATTTAATGTCATCAATCTTTGTGTTTCTCTCTATAATTTTAGTCAAACTTGAAAAAGTTTGACTCTCCAAGTTTTTTGGAATGACTTACAATTTGAGATGGAGAGAGTATTTGGTTTTTACGAATTAGTTTGAGTTAAATGCACCATAGGTCCATTAATTTTTGGTGGTGTGTTATCTAGGTCCATTAACTTTCAAACTATATTTTTGGGTCCATTAACTTTTGGTGGTGTGTCATCCAGGTCCATCAACTTTCAAACTGCATTTTTTGGTCTATTAACTCTTGGTAGTGTGTCGTTCAGGTCCATCAACTTTCAAATTGTATTTTTGGGTCCCTAAACTTTTTAACTGGTCCACCGTAGGTCCATATCCCTTCGTTTAGCGAATAGATCTGACATGGCACGCCAAATAAGCAGCCACCGTGGAGTAGGTAATGAGTCCATAGCTCTTCAAGATGCTCATGGAGACTTGTCTAGCAATAATTCAAATGTAGCAACTGGTAATTCATTAATATCCTCTGGTCTTAAATTTGGGACTATTATTTTTAAGGATAAAAATATTGTGGACATGGAGAAATTTATAATTGCTGGACTGTCATCAAAGATATTTTATAGAGATACCTTATTATTGCGTGAAAAGAGGAGAAAATGAAGCTAACAAAATACGTCGGTACTAATTCTAAAGAGGTGGAATTTTCCAAATGTGATTAGCATCCTTGCCGTAGTATTTTATTATTTTCATGCATTAGTTTTCTATCCCATTGTGATACATGATTTTTATCTAGCATCTAGCTTTTAGTGCCTGCGTGCACCTGTGTACGTGAATTAAATTGGTGGCTGCGTTTGGACGTGCCATGCATGTTAGCCGAATCAGGGACTCAGGGTCAATCGGTCCTAGTTGGGCTGGTGGAGTCCGAGTTTTATTGGGTCAGATGGCCTGCGTGCCCATACCTGTGGCCCTCGGCCTTGTGCCGGGTAGATTAGACTGGATTTTATTGTAGAGTTTATTCCCCGTTGAGTCGCCGCTTGAAAAACCCTAGATGATGATCCCATCAGGTTCTTTGTATTGAAGATTATTTCTGGATGGTGATCTCGTCCTGTACTCCACGGTGGCCACTTTTTTGAAGTGCCATGTCAGATCTATTCACTAAATAAAAGGATATGGATCTACGGTGAACTAGTTAAAAAGTTTAGGAACTCAAAAATGTAATTTAAATGTTGATGGACTTGAATGACACACCACCAAAAGTTAATGACCAAAAAATACAGTTTAAAAGTTGATGGATCTGGATGACACATCACCAAAAGTTAATAAACCCAAAAATACAGTTTGAAAGTTGATGGACCTAGATGACACACCACCAAAAATTAATAAACCTACTATGCATTTAACTCAATTAGTTTTGAAGTGTGCCTTCAGAATTAAGGTGAATATACTTCAAAAATAAAAAATGACAGACAAAAGCCAAGCTGTGTATTGCCTTGCATTGCATTAATATTTCCTTCTATATAGTTCAATGGCCTTACAATAGCTAGGACCACATGTCCTTTAAGTGCATGTGCGCATGCATCTCCCAATTCAACAATCACCAAAGGACAAAAAGAAGATGGATAGACGAAATCAATAATTCTTGGCGCGTGAGTTTATATAGAGCCTTAATTACGTACATGATGCAAATCATGGCAAACAGTAGCGAAATCAAGCCCTAACTAATAAGGCCCCGTCACCATCATCATCAAGCCTGGCAATAATAATTAATGACGGCGCGCTGCGCTGCTTCTGCTTCTTCTTAAATTATCTTGATCGATTAAGTTACTACATGATGATGAGAAATCAATCATGTAATATATATTTTTTTAACCAAGAGATGAGACCTTGTAGGTGGCGCCGTCAGGGAACGTGTAGGTGGTCTCGTCGATGGGCGACACCTTGGGCACGTGGATGGGGAGCACGTCGATCTCCGGCGTCCACGGGTTGCCCTCTTCGCCACCGTCGACCGTCCGGAGCGCCTTCCAGACGGCGCTGTTGCACTTGAATCCGGATCCGAATGCGATCTGCCAGACCCGGTCCCCCTTCCGGATCCGCCCCTTGGCCTCGCAGTAGGCGAGCTCGTACCAGAGCGAGCTGCTGGAGGTGTTGCCGAAGCGGCAGAGCGTCATCCTGGAGGGCTCCATGTGCCAGGTGCTGAGCTTGAGGCTGCGCTCCAGCTCGTCCAGCACGCCGCGGCCCCCCGCGTGGATGCAGAAGTGGTCGAAGGCGAGCTTGAAGTCGGGCAGGTAGGCGCGCACGTTGGCGCGGAAGACGCGGTTGAGGACGACGGTGGCGAGGAACCGGAGCTGCTCGGACATGGGCAGGACGAGCGGGCCCAGAGTGGTGATGTTGGTGCGCAGGGCCTCCCCGGCCACCACCATGAGCTCCTTGGAGAGGGAGACGCCGACGCACCCCGCGTCGTCCTCCTCCTGCGTGACGCAGCCGAAGCTCTGGTCGTGCGCTCCGCGGTGGGTGCGCACGGTGTGGATGAGCTGGTACTTGGCGCGGCGGCGGTCGGCGCGGCGGTTGGAGAGCAGGATGGCGGCGCCGCCCACGCGGAAGAGCGTGTTGGTCACCAGCATCGGGCGGTTGTTGCCCATGTAGGCGTTGAGGGTGATGTTCTCCGTGCTCACCACGAGCGCGTACGTGTCCCGGTGCACCTGCATGCATGCACGCATACATATATGGGGAAACAAGCTTTGTACGTAATTATTTTGTAACGAAGGGATTAGCCGGCCAGAATGACCGTGGTCAAATGGCCCCAGCACAGCAGTTGTAGACGCAAGCTGAGCACTGTAGCTATGAGGCGCAGTCGGGCAGAACCGCGCACATGATTTGATTACCTGAAGGGCCTGTCCCTTGTCGTCAGACTACCATTTACTCCCACTGCAGAGCTTGTCATTTCACAGATGCATGCATACAACCGCGGTAAGAACCCTAGTACAGCAGTATAGTACAACCTACTGTAGCTCTGAGTTGTACATATACGGACGGAGAGCTGGGGCCTGGACTAGGGGGCAGCAGCAACTGAGAAAGAACCAGGCGCGCAGTGCTGCATGCTGAAGCAGTAGAATAGTAGGAGTAGGTGTTTGAAATTCGGGACTAAAATTTAGTAGATGTCATTGGATATTTAGACAAAGACTAAACATGAGGCTAATTAGGTTTAATAGATTCGTTTTATAAATTAATCTTAATCTATGCTATTTGTTTTGTAATTAATCTATGTTTAATACTTTAAATTAATATCAAACATACGGTGACTAAATTTTAGTCGGTGATGGGTGGGATACTGAGCTCTACAGTGAGTGAGAGAGAGAGGAGCAATGGCCGCGCTGCAGTGTCCATTTCCAGACTTGACGATGGTTCCGTTTTGACCAGGCCTCCTTCTGCCCTTAGTGCAGACGACGCTCCTAGCTAAAATACTGTTCCTAATTGTCGTGAAAAAAAAAATACTATTCTTGCTAAGAACACTATTCACGTGAACAGTGAAAGTGCGCTGGTCAGCCCAGCTCCAGCCGGCCAGCCGAACGCAGCCGGTAATTAAGGGCGGGCACATTCATTATCGTATAGTTACTGTACTACATACTGACACCACTAGCATGCATGGACGACCGAACCACGCACGCAGTTACTGTAATTACTAGCACATTTTCTACTGGCAATGCAATGCAAGCTAATCCCAGACCGGCCAATCTCCATAAGCTGTAAAAACTAAAAGGGTCTCTGTACGTGATGTGCAGCCATATGCTGGAGTAATAAGGAGTAGGACAGTGCACCGGCACCGGCACCGGCACATGGCTGTGTGAAAACTCCCTGTATATGTGCCCCTCCGTTATAAACACACATGTATCAGTACGTGCTGTACGTTAATCTTACGTACGTGTGCTCATTCTGGAGAGTACCAATTATATTGACCCCACTCACATGCATGGAGCCGCAAATAGGTATTTTCACTTAACTTTCACGCTGTGAAATGTTAACTTTCACGTACGTTTCTATAACGCGTGTGGTTATAAAAAAAATTTAAAAACCTCCACATATGACCACTGCCGTCAGATGATGACTTTTTTGGATACGAGTACGTAGTACCTGTGCGCAAGTTTTCATGATATAGTGATCTCTTAAATTTTATTGTGATTTTATTAATAAATAAAAAGGTATCATCCTCTGTCTTGAATTATAGATCGTTTTGGATTAATTTTCTACGCTTTGCTACGCACCTAGACCTGTGATATATCTTGATACGTAATACGAAATTGTGTATCTGTAAATGCCAAAACAACCTATAAATTAGAACGAAGGAGTAGCGATCAAAGTTTTATACATATATAACCCATATCGAACCCTATGAATCCCCAAACAATAATCATACAGAACGGTGGAATTACTACGACAGAGTGAACCAATCAACACAACAACTGAGGTTCTTTTATTTAGATCGACACAAGTCATTTGCTAGCACTACTATTATACGTATACTAGTACTCACCAAATGACGTTTTGGGTTGATGTCAATCATGCTAAAGTTCCAACGTATGTTATTTTTTTATATTTAGAATTGATACAATGGATTTGTGTGAACAAATAGATTCATAATAATGTTCGCTTGCTGTGCGTTATAAATAAGTTACAAAAAAGTAGTGGTAAAAGTCATGTTTTGAAGAGACTTCGTGGGCGACCAAATTCTTTTCCTTTTTTAAATGCAAAACATCAATTTCTTGTGACCCGGCGGGGGAGCATGTAACAAGATAAAGATCGCTCCCAACTAGTAGGCAACTAGCAGTGTAATATATGGAAATATACAGGAATCGGAACTAGTTTCTCTGAGGCTATCTCCAACGACAACAACACACAAAATACAAGATCGATTCGATCTTTGATAGCGCTACAGGCAAAAGGTTAAAAAACTATTCGACATCTTTTCCAATAACAAGACTCAAAAGAGAATCATTTTTCCAAATAAGTTTCCAGAAAAGATGATACCCATATTTGGATTGTACCTCTCAGACAACCCAAAATAGATCTCCCATATAGATACTCTGTTGGAGACTGATTTTGGATCTCTTATTACCCATTTTGAGTTTAGCTGTCCATATAGATTCCTTTATGGAGACAGTCTGAGTGCCAATTTGTGCAACCAGATCCGGATGCATGCATACTGCAAGTGAAAGGGGCAAGAACTGAAGAGGGAGGAACTCTAAGGGGGTGTTTGGTTCTGAGACTAAAGTTTAGTCCCTATCACATCGGACATTCAGATACTAATTAAGAGAACTAAATATGGGTTAATTATAAAACTAATTACACATACAGAGAATAATTTACGAGATAAATCTATTAAGCCTAATTAATCTATCATTAGCACATATTTACTGTAGTACCACATTGTCAAATCATGAACTAATTAGACTTAATAGATTTATCTCGCAAATTAGTCTCAATCTGTACAGTTAGTTTTATAATTAGTCTACATTTAATACTCCAAATTAGTGTCAAACATCTGATGTGACAGGGACTAAAATTTAGTCCGTGGAACAAAACACCCCTAAAAAAAAAGGGAACCTACGCCTTGCTGCTCTTGTCTGTGCTCTCATGTTAGCTCCTGTTTAGATCCCACTCAAAATCCCACCCAAAATCCAAAATTTTGGCACGATCGTATTTGGCACGATCGTAGTCAGCTAGCCTATTAAATTGTGGGTTCAGAAGAAGTAATGGACCCGACAGCGATCCATCGGTCATGAGATGCATGCCAAAACACTAGTATTGCATGAGATGTGTGCAGTAGTAGCATATGTCCATCGGTCATGCCAATGCAATTAAGAACCTGGTTAGTTTTTTTTTAATAAAACGAAGATGCATGCATGTGTGTTCAATTCATGGGAAACAGTGTAAAAAAATATATGTACTTGGCAACCATGTGCACACATAATGCAAAACCAGCTTGGAAGCAGAATATTGGTACTACTACTCATTAAGCGCCGTGAAATCACTGTGCATAACTTAAGCAGTGCCTGAATGTCTCATGCACATGCAGTGGTAATTGACGTAATAATAAACTAAAGCACGTACGCGATGCAGTAGGTAGAGGTTGTGCTGAAACTTTTAGTTTGCCTACTTTGCACTTTTCTGGTAATTATTTCGTACTGCGTGAGGCCAGTCTTAATAATAGTTTCACGATAATTTCATTGACATTAAAAAAAGCACATATAAAGTAGTATAAATGAAGAAAGATATAAAAAACGTTTTATAGGGATAAAATAAATTTTATGGGGATGAAGGTTACCTACACTGTTTTCGACGCGTGACAGTCTTGAAAACTTCCAACGAAGCTGGCCCAATGACTCAGTCAAGCTCTTCACAAGAGCATGATTGTTATTACTAGGCCTTCTTTAGATTAGGGTTAGAAATCAGTATTTGTCACTGTAACATTTTTGTTTGTATTTAACAATTATTATTTAATTATGATATAACTAGGCTTAAAAGATTCGTCTCGTAATTTACGATCAAACGATATAATTAGTAATTTTTTTATCTACATTTAATACTCCAATGTGTTAAAAATTTGATACGATGGAGAGAGATCGAAAAAAAAACTTGAAGGCCTTAATAGATTCTGAAATCTAATGGAGTGCGAGAGTTTTGCTTGTACAGCAACAACACCCTGACATGATAGGATCTGACAGTATTCATTATTGCGTCCTAGCCGTACGTCCAAGCTGGTGATTCATTGGCCTCGGTTGTCGTGCAAGAATCGGGTGGATGCATGCATGCATGGACCGTACTACCACGCTAGCTAGCTACTGACTGACATGCAGTCCATAGTGGTAGTGGTTTCGTACCTGGAGCAGTCGCTTGGCGAGGTCGATGGCGATGATGCCTGCGCTGCACCCCATCCCGCTGAGGTTGTGGCTGACGACGTCGTGCCGCATCCCGTAGCGGTTGGAGATAAGCGACGTGAAGGACGGCGTCGGGCTGAGCAGGCTGGAGTTGAAGATGAGCACGCCGACGTCGCGCGGCGCCACGCCCGGCGCCCTGCGGAGGAGGTCGTCGACGACGCCGAAGATGACGGCGTGCGACTCCTCCCGCGCCGTGCGGAGGCACATGTCGACGGGCACGCAGATGAGCGACGCCGGGAAGTGGGTCCGCTCCCCGAGCCCCGACCGCTCCAGCATCCGCTTCTGGAACGCCATGCTCTCGTCGCAGAACCGCCCGCACCGCCCGAAGTGCGCGATCGTCTTGGCGCGGGACGCCTCGTGCGGCGCGCCGGCCACGTACCCGGACAGGTCCACCAGGTACACGGGCCGCGGGCGGGACACCGCGTACGCCCACGCCGCCGCCGCGGTCGCCCAGCAGGCAACCGCCACCGCCGCAGGGCTCAGACGACCCAGCTTCTCCTTCAGGAGCAGGAGGCCGGCGGGAAGTTTCGACGACAGCCGCGGGGCCAGAAAGACGACGACGGCAAGGAGGAGGAGCGGGATGACGCGGCGGCTCACCACCACCACCTTGTTGGCCTGCGTCGTCGTCGTCGTTGAAGCACCACCGAACACCTCCCTACCCATTGTTGCAGTTACTAGCTAGCTTGTGCTGTGTATATACTCCAAGCCAAGGAAGGGCAGGAGACTAGAGCTAGCTAGGCAAGCAATGGCGCGCGATCGATCTCGATGGTCGATGGAGGGGTGCGAGGAGCAGCGGAGAGCGGATTTATAGGGCTGATGATGATGGAGGAGGGGTTAATGGCAAGCAGCAGGTGGTAGGTGATGGGCCGGGCCGCCGCGGGGAGGGGCAGTGCCAAGCTGCCAGCGCAATAACTGCGGCGATGCATGTGGAGTACGTAGCCATTGGTCTCAGCTGCAAGCCATGTGTGTACCTTGAGCACCCACTGCCCCATACCATGTGTATGTGTGATGTGTACTGTATTGCGCTGGTATTGCAGTTGCAAGGAGGGAGAGATGAAGACGAGTACTACTCGTAGTAGAGAACTAGTAGCCTACTAGTGATTGTTCAGTGGTGCAAAAGTAGGAGACTGGAATTCAATTCTTGTCCTCTCACGGGTCACATCATTTGTACCACGTTACCACCACTGCTCAACTCAACTGCTGATGATCCATCATGTTTTGTTTGCTGCTGTGGTCCAGCCAGCGTCGTTATTTTATTCTAGCCAGCGTCGTTATTTCACCGGGCGGCCTCATTTTCTTGGGCGGTGTTCAGTTCCTAAAATTTTGTAAAAATTTTTAAGATTTTTTATCATATCAAATTTTTAACGTATGCATGAAGCATAAAATATAAATAAAAAATAAAACTAATTACATAATTTAGACAAAATTCATAAGACGAATTTTTAAACCTAATTAGATTATGATTGAACAATAATTATCAAATAATAACGAAAATGCTACAGTATTATTTTTAAAAAATTTCCCAACTAAACAAGGGCTTGGTCCACAGGCTACACGAACTTATTAACTAAACTGAGGCTGATGTAGACATGCAAGCAGGTTACTGTAATTTTTTACTACTTCAAATATTATATATACGTATATAATACGGACTATGTAAGTACATCAATAGTTAATACGTACATGGACTGATGGGCATTGCATTGTGATCGATGTACTACAGTATATATGCACGGTCCAAACGGAAGGCTGCATGCAGGTAGCTTCAGGCTGGCGTTTTTACTTTTCACACGCCCTATGGATGGAGTAGCAGTGCAGTAGTACTTGCTGGGTAGCACATGCGCTAAACCAGGCCTTCAATTGCACAGCAGAATTTGTTGAAACTCTCTCTCTCTCCATTTTTTTTTTCTTCGATGAAGTCTCACCATTATAGATATACGTATACTATACGGAGTACTAATTAGAGTTGACAAGGAGCGCGGAGGAACGTGTGTACTCCGTATGTGTGTGTGTTTCCTCGTCTACTCTTGTGTCTTCCGACCGGGCGCACTGTGTTATTTTTACTTGCAATTTGGTATTGCTGCCGAGCTAGGTACGGGATCGGAGAGACGACGAAACGAAACGCAAGCTTTCAATTCTGGTGTCCGTTACGCGGTTGGACGAAAACCTTTAAGAGCAAGTCGGCTTCTAGAGTCAACATTTTTTTCTCTGACGTGGAGGAGAGAAGAGAAGAGAGGAGAGGAGAGAGGAGAGAGAAGAGAGCTCGGCTTTTATTCTAGCATAAAGCTGGACACAAAGGCCCCGTTCGCTGGTCTGAAATTTGGTTGAAAAACACTGTTCCGACTGAATTGTTGTGAGAGAAAAACATTGTTCCGAGTAAAAAAAGAAGCCGAACAAACCGAATATGGGGTAAGCCGAATAAGGCCTTGCATGAGCATCTGTAGGCTCAAACAATAGTGTACGTGAGAAGGAATAGAAAAGAGAAAGTAAGACATGGTATCACATAATAATAAAAATATTTTATATAGCCAAATAAGAGACAACTATTATATGACTTAGCTCTTATAACTTAACTTGTAGCCAAACATTTGGCTCTATTACTGACCTTACTCTAATGATGCGAGAGGTAGCTCTTGCTGAATCCGGATAGTAGTATTTATGTTCTCCTTTTCCTACTTATTATTATTATAAGTGACCATGCATGCATATTACTAGTACGTTGTGTGCACAGAGCCTGTTTGCTTGAACTTATCAGTCGATTTATCAGCTAGAATCTATAGTATTTTTCTCTCATAACAAAACAGCTTTAATCAGCTTATCAGCCGGCTTTAATACCAGCCAAACAGGCCCACGTATGTACGTATAAAGCGAAGTCACCACACTCGCCCTCCTGCTCGCCCTCCTGCGCGGAAGATAAAATCCAAAGTGTCAAAGTGTAGAGTCGTCTAAGACACTGGATTTGAATCTTCCAGCGGTGGGCTCTAATTAGGGCTAGATAATGAGAGCTAGCTTAGCTCGGCTTGTTATCCTAACGAGTCAGAAGGCTAACTCGGCTCATATCGTTTGGCTCACGGGCCAAACATAAAAACATAAAAAATATAATTTATGTATTTATCTAAATCTTGAGAATAATAATAATAATATAAAGATAACACATCTATAAGCCTTAAATCAAGCAAAAAGATTTAATGAGTGTTGACGTGACATATCTACTGTTGGAATATAAGTGAATTGCCCATCTTTTCTCATCAGCTTAAGCTTTTGGGTTGAATTAGTCGGTACATGCAACTTAATATCATATCAAAGCCAGAGGTCTCGAGTTCGAATCCTGGTTAGTGTAATTAAATAAAATAATTATTGTTCGCTTCTATTCCACGTCTGAGGCTTGAGGGAGCCTCAAATAATTATTGCACGCTCATATTCCACGTCTGAGGCATGAGGAAGCCTCCACGTGAAGAGGGGCGTTGGAATATAAGTGAATTGTCTACCTCTCCCTATCAACTTAAGTTTTTGGGTTGAACTAGTCGGTGCATGCAACTTAATATCTATAAATATAACAATATACTATAGTACTAAGGTATACATCCATAATCTATTGCCGATTATCTGTAAATCCTTTTAAAACAAAGTGATAGAGTTATAGTAATCCTAAGTTTATAGGTCTAACTAAGTCCAATCATCAACCAATTGTAGAGTGTAAGGCAACATTATACAAAACTAATATAAGTTTAAGACCAAAAGCTTTGGCTCATTAGGCTCACGAGCTAGCTCATTATCTACACAAGCTAAAATGCTAGCTCAGCTCGTTGAAAAATATAAATGAGCTGAGCCACTAACGAGCTACCAAGCTGCATGCTTTTCGTCCAGCCCTAGGTCTAATGCCATTATTCCAGCTGGCTTGGTGACTTCGTGGGTGAGCCAATTAGCCAGGGGGCTTTGAGAGTTCGGGAGTTATGGCGGAGGAGACTATTAAGGAGCAGAAATGGGGCAACAACACTGCAATCGACGACAATTGTGAGTGGCAGCCCCTACCGGGTACGATGAAAATCTTATGTTTGACCTGCTAGATCTAAGGCAGCCCGAGGCAGTTCGTGATCTGTGTAGCCTATGTGAGCTACATCGCCATATTCTGATTTTTTTTTTGTCAGAGACACATTTCTTTTTGGATAGAGTGGGGGCCTTATTTAGATACCCTCAAAATTCCAAGTTTTTTCACTCTCTCTCCATCACATCAATTTTTAGTCGTTTGCATGGAGCATTAAATGTAGGTAAAAAAAAATAACTAATTGCACAGTTTAGTTGGAAATCACGAGATGAATCTTTTGAACTTAGTTGGTCCACGATTGAATAATATTTACCAAATAAGACGAAAGTGCTAGTATTCATCGTGTTGAAATTTTTTGCAATCTAAAAGACTCCTAAAATTGATTGGCTTCACGCATGGGCTGGGCATAGGGATGGCAATGGGATGGTTTCGGGTCGAAGCTCCACGGATGTGGGTCCAGTGGGATCGGGTTCGATTTTTCATCCACGGTTTTCGGATTTGGGGATAGGAAACTTATCGGGTTCGGTTTCGGCTTTTGATTTTGGGAAAATGGTGTTCTTGCCCCTTACACAGATGTGTAATTGTGATTTTGTCCTTGTTTTTCTAACTTTGTGATTTATTCCAGGAAGTGAAAGTATGTCATGTTCAGACTACAATGTCTAATCATAGCTGCTTGGTGGTGAAATGCCTAGATCTCTCGCCGAATAGAAGGAGAAAGAAGGATTTCCGCTATGAAAATATGTGGCAGCGGGATCAGAGGGGCGTTCATTAGGGACACATGGAATCTAGCCTCAGGAGCCACCTATCTGGGAGAGATGCAGTCAAAGTTAAAGGACATCTAGCCCAGGCTCTAAGGGCTGTTTGGAGCGTCGAAATTTTCTCCTATTTCTATGTGATTTCTGTAAAATTTCTACGTTCCAAACATGCCATAAGATTGCTTCCCTTCGACGGGAGCTGTAGTCTGTACTAGTAGCTAGAGGCTTCTTCAAGTGCCACGTACACATAGGTGAGGTGGTGGTGTAGCCTATCTAGATGACTAGATCTCTCTCTCTCTCTCTCTCTCTTGCTGTTGTTTATTTATGTTTTCCTTTTTCATTTATGATATGGTCTATAGTGTTAGAGGGTAAGCCCATGGGCCATGGGCCTGCCGGCCCTAGCTCCCCATCGTGCCTATATGTACTCAATGGTTGTCACTAATCAATGTTAATCTAGCATTATCCAAACCCTAATACTCTCTCATGGTATCAAGAGACGGTTCGCTCTTGCGACCTCTCCACTTCCGCAAACCCTAAAGCCGCCACCGCCGAGACGCCTCGCAGGCTGGCTTGCCGTCGCTGAGATCCTCTCTGGTCGGCTCCTCCTACCTCCTCCTTGCTCGCCGCCCATGGCGCCTACCGATGCCGCTGTCGAGGAGGACCGCCTCCAGCGCGAGGCTGCTGCCAAGGCTGAGGCCGATCGCGACACTGCCCTTGAGCCTACGAGGCCAAGCACGCTGCCGTGGACGCACAAGCCCTTGCCGTCGTCAACATCAAGGTGCTCATCCCTGTCGCATTAGATCGTGCCGCCAACAACTACAACCGATGGCGCAATCTCTTCCTCATCATCCTCGGCAAGTACG